CGCCCACATGTTGCGCGGACTGTTAGAGACTTCTGTTCAGCACAACGCATGCAACTTCTTCCTTGGCCTGCTTATTCGCCGGATATGTCGCCTATTGAGCACGTGTGGGATATGGTTGGTCGGCGTCTCACTCGTGATCCGCGTCCTGCAGTTTCCAAAGACGAACTTTGGTTGCGCATACAAGCGATATGGAATTCTCTTCCTCAAGCAGATATTCAACATCTGTTTGACTCCATGCCACGTCGTATAGCAGCACTTATTGCAGCGCGTGGTGGCTGCACCAAATACTGATTTCGGACGCTTAATTTGTTTCTTTTGTTTTGAAAATTTCATCATTTATTTGTATCAGTACAAGTCGTTTCTGCATTAAATTTCATTTGATTCTGATGATTCTTTCATGGTGTTGCATTTTCTACAAACAGCAGTTTATGTAACAAAAGAAGCACTTTTTATTCAGAAGCACGCTAGTAACTTCTTAGTTATTTTTCCTATTGATTGTGACAAGTTGTGATTAAGACAAGTGCAAACAAATACATTTTTACTTAAACCTCTTATATACTCTAAACTATTCGTTCTATTGTATCAGGTTCAGATTTGATTCAGCTTAAAAAAATCATTGAAAATTATATCTTATTTGTTTAAATATCTGTATTTAAGTTTCCACCTCCTTTTTTATCCCTTCTGCCAAAACCCTCCACAGGATCTCGGAACTTCATGTGCGGCTCTCCAAAAACCAAATCCCAATGGGTCCCTGATTGTTATTTTGAATGTTTGGGTTTGGTTAATTTTTCGCCTAATTTTACTGTACAATTGCGTTTGACCACATAACAATTAATTTATTGCCAATGATCGTACTATGAAATAAAATTCAGATTGAGAGCAACATGAAAGAAATATTATAAGAAATAAATAAGAATGTACTTTTCCCGATGTAAGATTTTATAATTAAATACAGGGTGCAATATTAATTTGTGTTTAAAGTTTTCAGAATAAAATGTTTTTAACTTCATTCTTTTAAAATTTCAACTTTAAACTTTCAGCTTGTAATTGTGGCAAAGGTTGGAATTGCTCTTATTCGTATTCAGGGTCAGTTAAGAACTGTATTTGCACAAATGGGTATAAGCAAAAAGGAACTGGAATGGATAGAAAATGTGTAGGTAATGTATGTACAAGGATTTTTGTTTATTAAGATGTTTCTTTTTTTAAAAAAGTAAGTAAAATATGTATATCATATGTATTTGTAATTATATTGATATTCAAAATGAAAAAAAAAATTCATTGAAATTAGGGGGAATTGATTTTTGCACTCTGCACTCCTAGAACATTTTAGTCTAGCTTTTCATGATGATGACTTTTTTTTAAACAAAATTTTAAAAACAGGTAAAATGTGCAGTGAAACTTTTAATTTATTAAAATTTAGTCACCATAATTATTCATTTTAACACGTATTTTTATATATTTGTACATTCCGGTTTGATAAATAAAGTGCGTAGAAATGTTAAGACACAAAACAACTCTTAATCTAATGATTGGATTTTCACGTTCTAGGACTCAATCTTAATGGCTCTAGGGTCAAACATAACCTATGCCAATTTATTAGTGTAGACGATATTTTCAGCTAAAAATCCAGACACAAAAATGTACTTTCTCTAAATTAGCATGTTTTATTTACGATGTATTAATATCTTTGCTTCTCAAAATATGAAGAGACAGTGTTAGACGAATTCTGGATAACAGTCGAAGGTGCGGACCGCTTAACATTAAATTCACTTTTTGTATATTTTAACATATTCTGAGAACTAATGAAGCGACACTCGAAATGAACTAATGAAAGGACTAATGAAGTGACTCAGAACTAATGAAATGACATTCGAGTAAAAAAGTTACATCATTGCTTAAGTGAACAATATGAATAATGTGAAAATTAAGTAAATAAGTAGTTGTGATATTTCTTTTTCACTATCATTTTTGCTGACAGTGTAATACAGTACAACAGATACCACTTTTAGTCATATTTTATACTTTCCCACTGAACTGATAAATCTTTGCGTTTTTACTACACAATAGTAAAGTCAAGTCTTATTACAATCATAATTTCAATTGACGCACAATAATAGTTATTCACGATACTAGTAATTTTAAAAATATATTTGACGAACTAATATTACGGTAAAAATTTTCTCTGCCTTTTTTATCTAGCTGAATTGTCATTTAATGTTGCTTGCATTTTTATTACCTTCCCCCCGGACTTATTATTAGATTTATTTAAAAGAAATACACTCTGAGGGGGGAAAAATCACAACAGCAAGAAAAAATTATTGTAGAGTAATGAAATTTCGACAATGCATTTCTCCGAGAAAAATATTAAGTTGATTAAAGTTTCGGGATCACAGGTTAATACGATTAAGAGAAAAACCATTTCAAATGTGAAATACTGGTACATTAATAACCCGTATAACGAATTTTAAATGAAAGCAAGCAAAAGGGCATACATTGTGTCATACGGATGCCGTATGTCGTTTTGTGGGATGAAGTTCCATGCCTATTGCACTTGGTTAGCAATGCTGGTAGCTAATGCTGGTTGCGGAAGACGCTGAAGTTATCATCCAATGATTTCCCACGCTTCCTCGATTGGTGAAATATCTGGTGAACTATCAGGCAAAGGCTACATGCTGGCATTCTGTTGAGCATGTAAGGTTATAACAGCAGTATGAGTGCGAGCGTTATTATGCTGGAAAAAATCCACTTGTGAGCTGCTCATGAATAGCAACAAGACAGGTTGAATCACCTGGTTGATATGCAAATTTACTTTATAGGTGCGTGGTATTATCACGAGAGTTCTCCTGCTTTCATATGGGAAATTGCTCCCCAGGCCATAACTCCCGGTGTAGGTCCAGTGTTCATCCAGTGTATGTCCAGGCTTCTTCATATTCTCATACGCATTTTTGGCTAACAGCAACTAAATGTAAAAAATTTATAAACCAATATTTTTAAACCAATCAGATTATTACAATTTTTAATTTAAATGATCTCTAATACAATCGAAATGAAATTTCCGATCGATTTGCATCAAATTTCAAGATGCTGGCTCAATCGATTTTGGAATTAAAAGACAAACACACCCGGTGACCATCAGACACACTCTTTCCTTATATTATTATTCACTGATAAAAGCAATTAAATGTAGAAAAGACTTTCTTAAAAAAACAAAATCAAATTAAATAATTACTATACGCAAATAAGGTATCAGAAGATATTTGCGAGCACTTCTTGAAGTTTTGAAACAGCTTAGCTAAATCTTTGTTTTTTTTTAATTTCTTTGCATCATCATTAGTATAATTGGTTGTTGTCTATATGATGTCAGATGATGGCGGTTATTTAAAAGACTCGAGGCGGACCAATCACAGGCTTCCTGTTGTAAAGGTCTCAGGATTTCGAGAAATGTGGTGCTCACTCTGTGGAGACAGTTCACAGAGATAGGGACATAAGCCCATATACTTGGTTAAGGCCGCTGTAGTGAAACAACGATCTCTCGAAACCATTATTTGAGATTTCTAGCCATAAAGGAGAAACCCATGCGAACGACACAAGTGTCATGCAACTAGTATAGTGCAACCGAGACACCCATTTCACGGATAACAGTAGCCCAGAGGCTTAATCTAGTTGGCATGTATGGCAGATGCCCAGTAGTCTGCATCGTCTAAAAACGTTGACTATATACCACGAAAAGGATTGCTTAGTTTTATGACGAGAACGCCTGTCTTGGACAGGGGATGATTGGGGAGGGATTATCTCTTCCGTGAATCAGTCTGTTTACCCCCTCGAGATGCGTTCTCATCTGGAGAGAACCCAGTAGTCAATATCAACCCTTTAACACTATCGAAAAGGTCGCTATGGTCGTGGGGATCGGACGGTCTAAGCAGGCATCATGGCAGATGTGCATACCGATCTTCATGTGTTTGATAGAGGCACTCTAACAGATTAGCGGTACATGAGTGAGATTCTTGCAACCTATGTGAGACTTTTGCGCTGTTTATACGGGCCGAATTTCCTTTTTATTAACGGTAACGCTTGTCCACGCAGAGCTCAGTTGGTAGATGAATATCTCCTATGGGAGGATATTCAACAATTGAAGTGGTTTGCGATGTCCCTTAACCTTATTACTATCAAATACGTATAATACGCACGATTGCATCTAAAAAGGTGATCATCGTTGAGCTTAAGGGTACATTGGTGCAAAAGTGAGAGTGGTTGCCAAAGGGATTGATGGGGACTTTGGTAAACAGAATAAAACTCTGATACGAGAGTTGTGTAGCTGTTAGAGGTTTTGAAACATCCTATGAGATACGTTTTTTTCTGTCTGACAGAATGCCGTTCAGCTACTGTGCTAGACAAGTGACTATAGTTTCCTTATTTAGCATACAGGTTGTTCCCATTTTTGTTTTCTATATATATATGTAATCTCTATTACTTTCCAATTGACAAGATTTACATTTTTGAAACCCTAAGTAGAAAGACAAGTACTTAATAAATTTAAATTTTTGTTTGATACTTCAGACACAGCGTGCACAGACTTGCAGAAAAAGAATTTTTCCTCGCTGCCCACTTAACTATTTTTCTTGTTTTTGCCTATTAGTTTTCTCCAAATTGCTAGCTAGAATGATGTTTAATAACTCTCTATTATTTGATAATTATGTATATGATAGTTCAGTAATAATTATAATCCTTTTTCGAAGTACTTATATTACTGAACGTACTCTGTTTCACTTACATTTTGTTAAGTGCAAAATTTTCCATTCGACTGCTTAGTTTCGCCTGGCTGTATCAAATTATTTTATCAAATATGTTGCATCATTTTTTTTAACCCATTTAAATTATGTATACTGTCAGTAATCAGAAAATAAACTCGTGCATTAGTGGTAGTTGCCACGGAAGCAGGTAATTCTTGATTCAGCAGAAAGTATAGTTTTGTTTCTAAGGGGAACATAGATGGTCAAATAAACTACTAGAACAATTTGTTGCACCTACAATCCATTGGAGAAACCGGTTTCTCTAGGGACCACAAACATGACCATCGACAGAAGATTATCTCGTGCACACGCTTGAAAATCTTTTTAATTAAAATCTAGATCATTCTGTCAGTCGAAGAATTTTTAAGAACAAGTTGTTAAAACGTGTAATATTTATATATTATTTCCACTGAATGAGTGATTACTATAGCGTGCGTATAATAAACAAAATCGTTTTTACAAAACAAATTTAAAGATTTAAGGGTGAACAAATGCATATTTATGTGTTAAATATTCTACTTTTTTTTAATATATTTAAGAAAAGAAATTTCGGCAGCTAAATCTGTGTAAGATCAATGATGAAAGGCAGTTTTCTGTTGACATTTGAAACTGCTGTGTGTACTAGCTTCTTCCATTTAATTAAAAAATAAACCGCATATTATTATCCATGAGAACATGAGAATTTCTATTACACTAAACTTATTTGTATAAAAATTTTCCTATTGAACAAAAAACATTAAGTTTAATTCTTTTAAAAACTAAATCTATATCTTAATACAAAAAAAACTATCTTACGTATTATAAAGGTTACAATTATGAGTTGCACGGTGTTAAATTTTGAAGTTAATCACATGTTTTGAGTGAAAAGTTTAAGTTATTAATCACATGAATATTATAAGTGCTCCTTGGAAAGAAGTGTCATATAAAGTTAACGAAAGCTTATTTCATTAATCAGTAAATCCGTCAGCTTTCTCTCTTATAAATTGCTCGTAATGGTATTTATAAGTACATTTTCTAGAATGTGTACGCTCCTTCGTTGCATGGAGAAATTTGAGATGTCGCAGAGTCTATTTTTTTTCACTGTTGAGCTATTTTTACAAATGAGTTTGATAATTAGTAAAAATATCCCTTTTGGTTAGTGTACGACTGTTAAAACTTGTTTTCCGTGAAGGAAAACTCCAAAATTCTTCCTTGAGCCTAAATAAGTATAAAAATTGAAAAGCGAATTAATAGATAAAGAAGAATTGGGACTTTTTCTCCAATTACTCAAGATCGCAATATCTCAAATTCTCTGAGAATCAGCTTCTCTAAAAATTTAAAATTAGAATCTGCAGTGTGTCGAACTGAATTATTTTATAATATAATATTAAAATCGGTATGAAGGTAAAAACAGTATATATANATATATATATGAGGGACAAAGGTGTTAATTAAAACTACATATTATTTTAGGTTAAACCACATTATCATATAATTGAGCCAAAAAGCCCGACAATTTGTTTCAATTTAGCAATCTATTTAAATATAGCAAATTCGAACGATATTATTGCTATCCACATTCCAAGCCTTATATCTGTACAGTAATTTCACTTATTTATTTTCTGCTTGCCCTAATTGTTCCTAGTTAATGTTTTTAAATACTATAAAAAGATTGTATTTTTGAAAATTAATTTTTTAAATCTATTCGGCGAATTTCACTGAAATTTTGTATATCGCCATGTAAATAACATCCATGAAACTGATGTAAACCTAGCTATTCCCAATTTTTTCGACTTTTATTCAATTAAATAATAAATATTACGCAAAAACTATTTTCTTTTTGCATTGAAATAACTTGAGATAAACGAAGTTTTCAATTGCTTGCAAAAACTTTTCAATTCATTTTGCCGCTCTTCTAAACAAACTTTGGAACTCTATTTCCAAGAATATGGCTACCCTCTATATTTTGGAGGTGGGGATAAATCTTTATAAAAACTTTAATTGAAACTAAATAAATCGTTACTTAAAATATCTGCTGCACCAATCAATTATCATTCTTTTTGTTACTCACTCTACATCTTTAAAGCAGTCAAAAAATTACAATGATTGTAACATAACAAGTATTTTATTTGCATTTTTTGATGTGTATTACTGATTCTTAAATTGATTTTGGGAAGACAGGGCTTAGAAAAGAAAAACATTTTGGAGCTTCGCTTATATAAGCTCTAGCGTAGGGTTTGGATAATGAAGAATCGGTTTTTATCTATCCCTTAGCTTGAAGGTGAGTATTTTCGTTTCACTATAAGCAATCACAACCACCTCTTTTCGTAGAGAAGGAAACATTTTCTTTAGAAAAATGTTGACTGAATATGTACAATTTATGTAGTATTATTTTTCGGAAAATTAATGATAATATATCTGTAATATGGAGAAGGAAAACAAGAGTTATCAAGATTTGAATACTGGCAAATAGAAACTTTATTTTCCTCATAGAAATCTTTTTGAATATTTCTTAATTATTATTTATGTAATATTAAAACAAATTTAACTGAAATTTTGCGTTGTGAGACAGAATTTAAGCACCTTTTAATCCACCTCCAGAAATCGCAAAAGTCACACTTAATATTAATTAAATATTCACCTATGTAGCTCATGCAGATAAATTAGTAATTGATGATTCCAAAATAGTTGTAAGAATGGATCCGAAAATAATCACAATAGTATAACAAAAGCTATTAACTGGGACAAGTTTGATGCTCAAAGAATAAGTGGGATTTATATCGTCCCACGAAAAGAATACAGATCAGAAAGGTTTGTGTCTGTAAAAAAACAATAGTGGAGAGAATTTTAATGGTCAAACGAAACGGTTCACTGCGCTGCAAATCACATAATGATTGAAATTTTCGAAAGGAAATAAATAGTGTATCAAATAAGAAATTTCAATTGTCAGGTTTAATTGTGATTACTAGAATCATAAACTTGTTTTAGGAGATATATAATTTGATGTTTTTTTTCCTAATAAATAAAACTCGCATTAACTGGAACAAAAAGTCAACGGGAAATATAAATTAACGATAGGAGCACATTACTATCTTAAAATAATTTTAGTTTTTTTTATATTTAATGCCTTTTATATCGATGCTTCTTAGAAAAACATGTTTTACATCTCGCATAAGAATATTCTTCATTAAATTCAATAGTTCAAATAAAGAGATATGAAACGCACCAACTAAAAATCATAAATGGATCATAAAACTTATGAGTCAGCCCAAAATTTTTTATGAATGTTTTTAGATAACGAACGGGATTCAGATATCATCCCCTTGCTTTTCTATAATTTATTTTATTTTATCGTAGTTAATTTTATTTTTCTCTAATTTATTTTTTTTTCTCCAATTTACTTTCTTTTTCTCTAATTTATTTTATGTTTCTCTAATTTATTTTATTTTTCTCTAATTTATTTTAGTTCTAATTTATTTTATTCTATTTCTCTAGTTTATATTTCATTTTATTTTATTGTTAATAGTATAGCTTCTAAAAAAATTTTATTTGAAATAATTAACATTAGAAAATGAATTTATGATTTTTATTAATTCATCTACAATCTACATCTACGCTCTGAGCTCTATTAGGCATCGCTTGCCAACGCATGGAACTATTTATGTAGTCCATTTCATATTGCTTTGCTTGCCCTTTCCTCCTTGATCTTATTTACGGCTTTAGATTTCCCACTTTAAAATATTTTAAACTTTAGATTAGAGTTTAAGCCACCTGCTCATTGCATCGTTCATTGCATTGTTTTTAAGAAGAAAAAAAACATTCACTTAAATCAAATATATTTGCATGAACCTTCGTAGAGACATATTTCTTACCGTAACTCTATTGAAAGTTTGGAGTTAATGGGTTATCATTATTTTCCTTTTTTTAATTGCTTTTGTTGACCATTGAGATAGGCGTAAACGAGAAGCATTGCAGATTTGTACGTGTCACCTTATTTGGTAGTAGAGAAAGTTTTTACTGAGTGGTAGTGAGAGAATAATTAGAGTAAGACGAATTTTATTAAAATTAAATAAGTCGTTTAAATATAAAACCATTATAACCTAACTAATAAATAATAATAATGTACAATTCTTTTTAAAATTGCCTTTCAATATCAATAGCAATAAAAAAATGCTGCTACTACTAAGAAATGTTTTCTTCAATGACCGTGCACAGTTGGAAGCTATGAAAATATATTTCACTAGACTGATTCGCTCACCGACCCCATTATTTCTAGCAATTATTTTTGTCACGAATTCATGGCAAATTTAAAAATATTTAATAAAAAGTCCCCAAAATATTGAATGAATCCTAACTAAGTGAAATTCTCTCAGACTTAGTTCCTATTTTTATTAAGATAAAATTTAAATCTAATCATTTCGTGTACTACAATTGTAATTTTATCTATACAATTATTGTTACTGTAAAAGCCAGTGAAATGTTTTTCGAAAAAGAGATTATGTAAAAATAATACTAAAAATAAAGCCCTAATATTGTTTTACTATATTAGGGCTTATATAAAAATTAAGGAAAAAAATGCATCGGTTAAAATATTTATGGTTTTCAAAGAATTTGCTTTATATTTTAATAGAAACAGTAATTTTTACTAAATTTACAATGAGTGTTTTCAATAATTAAAAGTGGTGTTTTTTACTCTTTGCCTTATGTACAGTTTCTTAATTTTTCAGCTTTAACTGGTTGTGAAGACAACGGAGGAAACAAAGAATGTCAGGAGAAAGGAGAATTCTTTACATGCATTAATGACGAACAGGATGTATCGAAATACAGATGCGAGTGCCAACCTGGTTATAAAATTAAGAACAAGAAATGCATCGGTAAAAACATTTATGGCCTTCAAAGAATTTTTTTAAAAATTGAAACAGTGGTCTTTATGAAACTTACAATGATCCTTACCAATATAGAAAAGTTGTGTTTTTCTCTCTATACCGTTTCTTAATTTTTCAGCTTTAACTGGTTGCGAGGACAACGGAGGAAACAAAGAATGTCACGAGAAAGGAGAATTCTTTACATGCATTAATGACGAACAAGGTGTATCGAAATACAGATGCGAGTGCCATCCTGGATACAGAATTGAGAACACGAAATGCGTTGGTAAAAAAATATCAATGAAGTCGTTTGTTACATATGTATTTAATGAATTTGTTTTTATTTAATTTGAAGAAATACCCTTTTATGAAATTCTAATGAGCTTTTTGAATGCAGAATGATTTTAATGAATTTGTTTTGTATGATTTTTATGAAGATAATGTACCATTGTTTTTGTGAAATATATATTACTAAGTTTTTGTACTGCTTTATTTGTATCTAGAAGTGAATTTGCTTTTTTTTTAATTACATCGAAGATAGAGAAATGTTTTTTTCCTCCAAACTCTTTAAAGCTAACCAGTAACTGATACTAAATAGTCCTTACATTCCCATTTTATGTTCACAAGAAAATTGGTAAAATTGCTTAAAGTTTCAATAGCGAGGGACAATTTGTTTATTTTTCTCATGATTGTCATATTTTGCAATATTTTTTAAACATTCGGGACAAAAAATGCTTTAAGTTATCTTAATAACTAAAATTAAACTAAAGAAAAATTAAATATTCTCATGAGGGAAAAATTAAATTTCCGAAATTGGGTTTCAAAAAACTCTATTGGAAAGATCCCATGTCCTCTTGAACTTCACAATATTTGTGTAGTTTTAATAGGTACAAAGTATTCTAATATAATATTTTTCACCCAAATTAATACATTTGGTACTGATTAAAATTGCAATAAATTCCATATTCAGTTTTTCTTTTACCAAAATTAATTATACAGCATTGGCATCAATGACATTATGGCGATATTTTACGTTTTTCCTAGTACCATTTATCCATTCATTTTCCTTTTTAGTACATATTTTTGTCAGTTAATACGAAGGCGAAAATTATTTAAGCATTATTTGTGCCAATAATAATTTGGAGAATTTTAGGTTTCTATATTCAAATGAGTACCAATTCAGCATTAGTTTCGCTTTTAGAACATAGTTAATAATTTTTCATTTAAAATAAAGCCTATTACCCAAGTTCTATTCCATGATAAATTTATTTTAGAATCCATTTGCTGAGGTTTAAAAAAGTCACAGAGAGATTTTGTGAAAAAAAATATTAGCCTAAAAAATAAAATTAATAACTTACAGGCCACTACTTCTAAATAGCTTTATATCATCTTTTCACCTTATCTATATCACCTTATATTAGCTGTATTATATGTAAATGTATATTTCTTGTTTTTCATTCTAATAAAAGTTACAACTCATGAAATAAATAAGAAAATTTTAAAATAAGAAAAAGCGAACTGCAGTCAAAATAAAATTATGTAATAAAAGGAAAAAATATTTTTGCATATCAGAGGAGAGCTATATTAGAAATTTCTTTTAAGAAATTGCTTGTTATCTAATTATAATCTAACCAATCTAATAGTAATCTAAGCAATATAATATTCAACTGAGCAATAATCTAATAGTAATTAATCTGAGCAATATTTAAATTATCACTTTAAAAAAAAAAAGCTTTTTAGTAGTTTTCATTTAAAATGTATATCTGATAATTCAAAATAATATTAATTTAAAATATTATCTTCTTAGTAAAAACCGGATGCGATGATTTTGGGGGAAATTTAACTTTTAAAACAAAGGGCCATTTTGGATTTGTGTGAATGATGAAAAAGTTGTTTCTAAATACAGATGCGATTGTGTGTCTGACTATAAAAGAAATGGCACAGAATGCTTTGGTAATTTATTTCCTTTCTAATCAACAATTAAGCTATCACTTAGTAAAATAAAACTGATTGTTTCATTTTATTTTAGTTTTTTTTTAATATATATTAGAGTAATACATATTAGTTTATAAAGTAATTCCCATATTTTATTTAAACAATATTTTTCTAACTAAAACTGGATGCCAGTAATTTGGGATTTGTTTTAATGACTATAACAAAGCGCCAATTCGGGCAAGGATGAGTGACGAAAAATATATATTTCAAATTACAGTTGCAATCGCGTGTTTGTATATAAGGTAAAGAGCAACAAATGCATTGGTAAATTTATTTTTCTCAGACTGGTATTTTTAATTTCGTTATAAAAATTACTACTATAGATTTCAAGGAGCATTCAGTTCTATTCTATTCACAACTATTAGAATTTCATATTTTTTTCTGCAGTCTGAGATTGATTGATTTGATTTTTTCTTACAGCAGAATCTCTCTATCAAAAATGTTAAACTTTTGCGCAGCAATTTTTTATAAACTGCAAATGCAAATGAAGAAAAAACAGCTAGAAAGGATGTCTACTTTTTATTATTTAAGAAAAACATTTCAGAATCAACATATTTAATTTAATGCTATAAATATTATGAATTTGTAAAAGAAACAATAAATTGATACACAAATATTGGAATGTTTCTACTTTTAATTTTTATTTAAAAAAATTGACTCTTTTAATCTTATACATTTAATATATCAAAAAGGTACACATTATATAGTAATCAACACAAGTTTTGCGAATAAGCTAAAAAAGGACAGTGTCTCACTTTAAAAAAAAGGCAAAAGCATGTTAGTTCAAAAGTTTGCTTTATTAAATTGTTACAATATGAATTTGATTGTATGAATTTTACAAGATGAATTATACAAAATAATTATTGCTCTCTCATCAATTTATAAAATCGAATACAATTTGTTAAATTATTAATTGCAGCGAAAATGTTTATTTAAATATTCTTAATACTGTAATAGATAATATACTGAACTAAACAAATCCTTTAAGAAAAATAGCAAAACAAAAGCATCATGAAATAGTTATGTATGTAGTGCTTCAAATACTAATAAATTCCTCGTATTAACTAAGTTTATCGCAATAGTTCTTTTATTGATTAAGTGATGTTTTAGTCTTTGCTTTCTGTCAAGTTCCAAAAGATTTTTATTTCAGCTCTAGTTCATCTTCGAATTGTACTTATTAAACTACTAGTGGGCTAACGCTCGCCAACCCCCAAAAATTGCTACGCAATCTTACATTTTTTGCTTCGCAAACCAAGCTCGCTTCGCTCGCTACTAACTTAGGTACATTGCAAATGCACAAAATTTTAAGAATTCAGAACAATCATTCAAATCCATATAACAACTTTTTTTTTTTAAAAAAAATTACATATTTTTGGTAAATACTTAATATTTTATATAATTATTTTAATAGAGTCATTAAAATAAATTTGAATTCAAATAAATGACATGTAATTCGTTAAACCTATTAGAAATGTGCTATAGTATAAAATCTTAAGATAAAATTTCTAAAACTAATATCTCTTTAAAAAGGTTAAAATTTTGGCTATAATTAAGTCTATTAAAAATTGAAATAAGTGAATTGCAATGGAAAAACCTGCATAAACAAAACATTAAACATCTCATTTGGTGAGAATGCTCTCTCTTGTCAAAAAATACAAAATAAACTGACCTCAAATAAAACTCCAAGGACTTCGAATCAAATAATTAAGGAAACTACTATCACGTTTAATATAAAAGGAAGATTTATTAACTAAACAATAAAATTACAGCATCGCAGTTTCAAAAAACAAATCTCACACTTACTCAAAAAAACAATTTATATTCTAATTAGACACCATAGCAACCACAAAACTCTTCTCGTTACCATCTATGAAATGGTATATAATAAATAAATTATTTAACAAAAAATACGATGCGCATAAGCACATCATACTTCACACTCTGGTTATTTCAGTTACCGTTTTTATAAGCGCTATATGTTGAGCCACCTAATCTCGATTTAGCATGTGACATTTTTAGCGGCAATCATTGGTTAATTTTCTAGCGTTGCCATTCGGGGAGTTGTAATGAGGCTTCTTTTTATCGCCGTGTAAGAGAAATATATATATAGATTGTTTTGCCATATGAATGCCTATCTGAATATACTCAAGTCCACATAAGAAATGCTCAAAATAAGATAAGGTTTTACTGACACTGTCTTCCTCCATTTACGGTGAAAAGTTTTGAATTGTTAGAATATAAAAATATATAAAATATGTCTTATGACGCAAGTTTTCATTTTTCGTTTTAAGCTTTTAAATTGTTTCATTTTTTCAGCTTATTCGACGTCTTCAACAGTAAGTGTCAGTTCATATCCCACTTCGACAAAAACAATAGCTAATTGTAAGTATATAATTTTATTTAATAACATTAATATCCGAATTTCTTAACCTTTTTCTTTTGTTTTGAACAATTAAATTTGCTCAAATATTTATAGCAGTAAAAACACGATTACCAAATTTTGTTTATTTAAAAACCTCTAATATCCGAAGACATCTATTTAAAAAGATCCTGATTCGTTCCTTTCATTTCTTATTTTTATTTCCCTCCTCTTGTAATGAAGTGTTACTATGATGCATACGAAACACAAAAACAGATTTTTATTTATATTCCGTAAAATATAATACTATGGGTATTATATCGTACTATGAGTTCATCTGTGAGTTCATAATACTGTGAGAATTCACTTGTTTACTATATTGTCATAAATTTCGCCATACGTTACCAAAAAGCACATAAGTGAACCTGCATGCTCTTGATTTTTTTAAAATTTTATTTTATAACCGTCGTTGAGTAACCGACCCAATTTTTGGGTTTATGACTACTATTGCTCAACACCATAGGCTTGTAATTTTGAACCCAATCCAGGAAACAACTGAAATTCTGGATCAATTATTGAGTGAAATTTGCTTTCATGGAGGACTTTTTGATGGAACTAATCCGCATTTGCGTTACATGGAGAGGAAAACCACGAAAACCTCCAAAGATTAGCCTGACGCCAAGGGGACTCTAATCCATGATCCGTCTACCACTGAGGATATTTTATGTCAACACTGTGGTCGGTGTAAGCCGGATGCATAATTCGTATCAGCCAGCCATCGATGGGATTCGAACCCGGTTCACCTCTTTGGAAGGGGTATGTTCTATCCCCTGAGTCATCACGGCTCACATGTTCTTGATTGTATTATATTTAAATATTAAATAAATATAGATTCAAAAAACGCCATACAGATCATCCTAAATCAAAAGAGAAAATATATATTTTCGGCATAATTAAATTCTAAAATATTTAAAACTACTTACGTTTTCGAGCACTTGGATTTGATGTCATTTTTAAAAATTACTTTTCTTTAAGTGAAATTCTACCAAATAATTTATATGTTCTATTCTATTTCTATTCTATTTCTATTCTATTTCTATTCTATTTCTATTCTATTTCTATTCTACTTCTATTCTATTTCTATTCTATTTCTATTAAAATCTCGTGAAAGCTTAAAAATCCACAGTGAGGATAAATTTTTTTAAAGCGTGTTTTTAGAATCTAAGAAGGAATGGCTAACATATGCAGACCGAGAAAATTCAGAGGTTAAAGAATGATTGAAGAAGGACTATTTACTAGGTAAAATACAAAATTTGAGCGAAACAAACTTATATTTTTCAATCATGACTAAGTTCTGAAATTACAGTTGATAAATGTATTAAAAGTGATTTATATCACTAACTTCGTGTATTTTCAATCTTCGTGTTTTGGACAAAGCGCTTTTAAATCCAATTTGTGTTTTAAATTTCTTTTTTAGGGTTATAGATCTTTGTACAACGCACAAATCGTGATAATAGCTAATAAAATGTTTCTTTTTATAGCAACGACTACAGAAACATCAACAACAGAAGTTCAAAGTAGGTTTTTTTTGTCATTGAATTTGTTTTTTTTTAATATTATTTTATTTATTCTTCTTACTACTATTTTCTCGCTTAACTTTTCCTTTCTTATTTTCTATTTAAATTTATTTATTGAATTTATAAGTTTTTTGTTTAAATACTACTTAACTTTTGATGTGCACCTAATTGCTTGCTTAGTATGAAGAGAGTTCTCTGCTACGAGCCCTTTTATTATTTATTTCTTAGAACCACTGCAAAGCCTAAAGTGAAAAAAAAAATTACTTTACTAACTATAAAAAGAAAAATTTTAACCAAAATGTATGAGTTATTTATGTCACGATTCTCAAAAAAAAGCAACAAGCTTTATTAGAAAATCAAAGAGGTTTGCAATTTTCTTTTTAAATTGTGATTTGCCAAATTTTTTTAATAATTCCATTCTTTCAGCCCTTATTTATTAAATTGAGAGCCCCTGTTTGCATACTTGCTCGATTCCTTTCTTAACAAGGACTTTAAAAATATTAAAATAAATCCGGTAACTGCAGATTATCCTATATTAGGTAGCTTTTTTTCTGTAGCATTATTCCTACTTTGTTTGTGGCAAATTTTGATACCTGAATCATTTTTTATTAATTTTTATCTACTAGAAAAACAATTTTTGAACTATTATGATTCCCAATTTTTTTACACAATTTTCTTTAGCTCTAAATTACATGTACTTTAATAAATCCGTTTTTAAATGACTTTGTTAAAAACATTAAGACACACTGATCTTAAATATCGTAAAAATTGTGTGAGTATTAAAATGCTTTCGGTTGAAAAGTTTTACGATTTAATTTTTTTCTCTCAAGACTGTGTATTAAAATGTAATTTAGTTTCTTTCAAATAGACAGGTGGCTCAATTTAACACCTTATATGAATTGTAAAATATTTTTACCTATTGTAAAAACATACTCGAAAATCAATTTTTGAACTAATATGATTCTCAATTCTTGTTACAATACACATTTTCTTAAGCTCTAAACTACTTATACTTTAATAAATAAATTTTTTTATTGACTTCAATGTTCAAAACATTAGGACTCACTGATCTTAAATATCGTAAAAGTTTTAGTAAATACTGAAATATTTCCGGTTGAACCGCTTTACTATTTATTTTTTTAACATGACTTGTTACAATGTATTTTAGTTTATTTTGAACTGACAGGTGATTCCCTTTAATACCTTATATATGTTGTAAATATTTTTACCTGTAGTAAACACATATTATAACAATATTTACTATCTTTAATTCATATTTTATTTTAATATTTTTAGAAAAAAAATGTGATTGTGGTGAAAATTCCTATGCATGCCAATGGAATAAGAAAGGTGCACAACTGTGTAGCTGCTTTCCAGGTTACGCTCAATTGGGGAATATTTGTTCAGGTGAATATAGTTAACTGTTAACTGGTTTTGCCTTGTCAGGAGAAGTTTCATTTGATTTACTATTAAGAAAAAGAGTGGAAAATAATATTTTAGCAAATTACAGGTGTTAATAAAACCAAGTTGCATGTGTTTGTATTCTTTTGAAAGTTTGCTGTCCTAAGCTATCAAAGAACCAATGAATATAGAGCTGTATTATTGTAAAAGCTGTCTTTTTAAAAAATGTATATTATGATATTTTAAGTGAGTGCGAAGTTTAAAACGTAAAGCCAAAATTGTAACTCTCGTTAACTAAGTCATTGCTGTATAATTTGGAAACCAATTCTACGCTCCATGTTTGCCATATAAATTTAATAAGTTCTAGTTCCAGTTAAATATGTTCGAAAAATTTAGTTTATAGTTGCCGAGCTTATAATAGTTTGGCGAGAAAACGGCTGCGTTATTTATGAGTCTGCGTGTTCAGTTGAGTCTGTCACCAAAGATAAATAATTTGGAGAAATGCTAAATTTAAACATAATTTTAATGAAAACTTAACAAAATTAAAACCATAGAAGAATAATTGAACAAGTAAAAGCTGAAGAAACAGTTAAGACAAGTTACCGAAAAAAGAGATAAGTAAAGTAA